CTCAAGAGCCTTGAGGCTGCCATGAAGAGAATAAAAGAATCCACAAAATTTATCAACATTATTATGAAACTATTAATTCTTGTTTTCGACAATTTTCGCAGCCACTATCACGATAATGTTAAATTAATTGAAGAAACTAAAACTATCGATAGCATTCTTGAAGATATTAAAGCACAATATGATATTGCCAGTCAACAGCATCAAAAATATAGTAATGATGCAAATAATTATCAATCGTCTATCGCAACTCTTCAAGCAGCTGCTAATGCTAAATACGGTCATATTCATAAGCTTTGTCATGATTTAAGTAAAATTTGTTCTCGATTTAACTTTGTTGATGAACTTCATGCAAACATTGAGAGCATGAAACAGGACGCAAGAACACTGCAGAATACTGATTTAAGAAAGAATGCTGAAGCAGAGATTCAAAGACTTGAAAAATTAGCTAATGATCTATCTTCAAAACGAACAAAATGGACAGAGGAAAAACTTGCGAAAGAACAATTTTCCGAACAATCAAATAACTCAGGGCCATCAAAACTGGGAAATCAGCAACAAAATCATAAAAAAATAAATCTGGGGTTTTTGTCGAAATTTAAAAAAAAATAATATAGAATTCTTTAAATATAGTTATGTTTATATGTTATTTTAAATAAAAACAATAAAATATTTTGAATTTAGACATATATATGGAATTTATAGTGATATGTCGTTCTGGTCTGTATTATTTGATGACAAGAAGTTGTTTTTTCAATTGTTTTTGTACTTGACCTTCGATAAATGAAATATTATGGAAAAATTAATCTTAAAAGCTATGCTTTATTAAATTGCTTTTGTTAAAGTTTTATTATAATCTCAAAACTAATTTATACTTATAAATTTATGATAATAGATAAATATATATATATATATGGATTTATATTATAATTGGTTTTTAAATAAATTTTTTTAAAATTATTTAAAAATAAAATTAATAGTTCAAGGTTAATTGTGAGCATTTTTTAAAGTTTATGTATTTAATATAGGCTATAAAATTTTTATAAAACAAATTTAAAATTTTTTATACATGTTAATATAACAAAATAATATAATATTTTAATTTTTGTAAAAAACATAAAATTTAAATATTTTTTTTTAAAAAACTCTATTATTATTTTTTTTCTTAAAAATTTCTCTTTATAATAATTTTTAGAAAAGAAATAAGACATTTTAAACTCAACAATACATCAAGAGAAAAAAAAATACATAGCCTTTTATAGAAGATATATACAAGATCCAATAAATAAAACTGTTATTAAAGAAGTATATACTAATACAAGAAATATACTTTATCTATATTTTTTTTTAAAAAAAAAAGAAACAAAACATAAAATTTAAATCAAAATAAGGTTAAAAAACTCAATATTAATCATTCAAGTTTCTAATAAAATTAATATAGATGTATATCTCTTTAAATATTAAAAAAAGCTTTATAGTAAACCAATTTTAACTAGTAGACTAGTCAAAACTCAAAAAGTTGTAGGATTTAAAAGAATATTAAAGACTTAAAAGTAATAACTAGAGGCAAAAGTAGTATACAATTGCAAAATATAAATAATCAATATATAAAAAATAAAAATATATTCTAGTAAACAATTCAATTTACAATAGTAACTTATATAATATATCTCTTAGTATAAATAAAACCTTAATATGTTTTAAGTTTAATAATATATAATAGCTCTATTTTATAAAAAACTATAGATATTAAATCAATATAAGTAGTAAACAAGTAATACTGATAAATAAATAATTAATATCCAATAACTTAAAATAAATAATAAATTAAATAAAAAATAAATAAAGGTTAATTTATTTTATTTTATTTTTTTTTATCACAAATGAGCATTAAATGCGGGTTTTTATTAGAAAATAATTCTTAAACATGACATTAATAGTCTTTACATTGGTAAATTAACTATAGCCTATTGGGCTTTTTCTATTATGTCACCCTATTGGACAGTATCCAGGTTCACCAGAATAGAGTCGAATAGTTAATGCCCATTCAAAAACAATGTTATTATTGAGGGAAGAAATATAGAGCTTTGTGTGGAGTTATTTAATAAGTTCGATAACTTGATAATTATTTTTGAAATATTATTATTATTTGTTTTGTTTATATTTTAATTGGGTTAGCTGCTTTTGCCTTTTTTCATTTGATTCCATTGATAGGTGAAGTATTGGTTGTGGCAGATCTTTGTTTTCAAATTTTGTAAAGGACTTTTAATGATGTGTTCATTAATTGGATTTGTAGTTTTCACTGGATAATGACTCTAAATACTGGTTGGGCTCTCCATAGCGATATTGAGTAAGATATCTCCTTTTGTTGATTCAAGTAGTATTGAGTTGGTTTGTGTACAGTTTCTGCTTTATCTTTTTAGAATTTTGTTAAGTTTGGGTAGTTTTTTTTATTGTTTCTCTGCTTTCGATACAATTAAAGATATGGAGTTGATCTTCATTTATGTGTTCACATCTGGAGCACCTTGAATCTATGTATAATGTAAGATATCTCTTGTGAAGTTTATCTCTTGTGGGTAATGAGTTGAATAAAAGCTTTGTTCTGAAGATAGTTAAGGCTCTGTAGTTATATTTATCCATTTTCCAGCAGCTTTTGTTGGCTTGTTTTAACTGTAAGAATTTAGAAATGTTGTTGGGTTTGTATGTGCAGTTGTTGCTTAAGATTATTGAGAAGAGTTTGGTATATGAATTGACAAATTTTATCCAGTGTGTAATACTGGGTCCAATTTTGTTATTAATAAGTAGAGAAGTAGAGAATTGTGTTGATTTGTAAGGGGGTAGACTTGTATATGTTGAGATGGTCAATGGAGTGAGCTTGCCTTCAATTTTGATATGTGTTAGGTTGATTTTTTTGATTTTTGTTAAGTTCAGACATCTTTCAATTATGTGGCTATGTTGAACCTTGATTTTCTTGTTAATGTATGATGGAAGCTTGGTGTTTGTGATTTTGAACATGAAGCACGTTATATTGGTGTATGGTATCACATTTTCTATTGTGTTGTAAAGGATGGTCCATAATTCATGATGGGAGCTAGAAGTATGTGGAAATAGTTGACAGCTGTTGTTTGTCTCTACTTCAATTCCATTTGTTCTTTGAGTCACTACTATGCTGATGGGGTATTTGCTCAGAAAGTTGTTGGCTGTTGTTGAATTAAAACTATTTCATTGCTAGTGGGTTTGGGAATAAGTTGTGTGTCAACTTCATTTAGGTTGTTAAGAAGATAAAAGAGGTCATTGTTTTTCATATGCCATATTGATTTTACTGTTTCGATTAGTTTGCATTTGATACAAGGTTGAGTTGGATATTGGCATTGATGAAGGTGGTTTGTGTTCTCATCTACAATGTGGTGTTGTCCTCTGATTATTTCTTTATTGTTGTTCTTTCTTGTTTTTATGAATTCTGTGTAGTTTACGTTTTTAAAAGCCCAAAAAAGACGTTTTGGATTAGGAAGAGGTAGTGTGTTACCAATTGTTATGGGAAAGTTTTCTTTGAGATCAGTATATCAGCTGGGGATGTGATCAGAAGTGACTCATCCAGTTTTTGTATAGAGTTCATCCCATGAATTTATGTTGGATTTATTGTATTGTGTAATTTGTCTAACTGTTTTGATGTTGTATCTTAATAAGTGTAGGGCTGTTGTCTTGTTTATTTTGGTATGGAGGCCTATGGACAACCATGTATCCTTGTGTGTAAAGGAACATGGATTTGGACTGATGTTTATTTTGTAATCTATTGTGATCTGGGCTGCTTCTGTGATCCAGGATTGTTCAAAATGTTGAGGATGGCAGACCGAGCATAGCCATATTGCACTGCTTATTTGGATTAATAAGATTTCTTGTTGAATAAAGGGGGTGGTTCTCTTATTCACTAAAATGGTGGCTAGTAACTTGACCAGTGTAATTATCTTCTGGTCCTTAAGGATTGTTGAGTTGATACCAGCTTGTGAGAAGTAGACTCTATTTGATAGGGTGCATTCTATACTTAATTTCTTTTTTATTGCTTTGTTGAATAAAGTTTGGAGTATGTTGATATCATGTTTCCTTAAGAGTGTAACTTGAAGAGCATAGTCAATCTGAGCTGAAATGATCCATTGTGATACTTGCTTTGTGATGAAGCCATTCCACTTTTTTTGACTGGCAATGCTTTTGATAAATTTGTTGGATTTATTTAAAAGCCTTTGTTTTGTTGACATATCTGGGACTGACCAGATAAGTAGATTCCTAGATATTTGATATCTTGTTCAAATGGTTTGGCGTGATTTCTGTATCCTCTACTTTTAGATTTTGGTTACATTTATTGCTTTTCCAGGAGTGATTTGTTATTAGGTCAGTTTTTGTTTTGTTACAGGTTATATGATTCAATTTGAGGAATAATGTGAATATGTTAGTTGCTTTCTGTAGTGTTGCTAACTTTTGTATAAAAATTGCAACATCGTCAATGTAAGTGAAGATGTTGTTTTGTGTGGTAAGATTTTTTGTATCTTCGAGATGACTGGATCATAAAAGATGACCCATAACAAAGGTGCTATGGTTTCGCCTTGGTCCAGATCTTGTAAGACTGATATGGAGTGGGTCAAGTTGTAGTACAAGATGAATTGAAGTGACCGATTCATTAATAGTTTCATAATAATGTTGATAAATTTTGTGGATTCTTTTATTCTCTTCATGGCAGCCTCAAGGCTCTTGAG